GGTGACACTGCCCCTGATGAGTCACGGCATAGCCCGCCAGGAAGCCTAGTGAGGCACAGCTATTCATTGCTTCCGGACACATCCACCACGAGCCTCGTTTCTCGGCGAGGTATCATGACAATACCTTATAAGTCAGCTTTGCGCCCCATGGCCGCGCCGCGTCGAAGTTCGGAACACGAGCTTCCCAATATCCAGCAGCTTCTCTGGATTCCACAACGATGCTACTCAAAGATTCAGACGGAGAGTACAATGAACTTGCTGGGTATGCGTATGAGGGGGTTTGGGAGAGATATGACGAACCAGCCCTTCGGAAGTGGATCTGGACTGTCACGGACTCAAATGCCCTATTGATCCTGGCTGGCATCGCGCTTTTCATTGCCGTTACACAGACACGCGCTTGGGTCATCTATCGCTATGTCATTCTCACCCGGACCCAAGTCCGGCCCGTCAGGCTTCCTGATGAATCCTCTCCCGAACCCTTGCTACATCTTTCACAAGGCAAAGCAATTGCCGAAGTTCTCCCATTCGCTAAAAGTGGCATCTCCAACCTGTGGAGAAAGAGGGTCTCGATGCTGCGAAGGCGCACTCCTCAGTCAGCGCCCGAGCCAGAGCAAGAGCAAGAGTCGGGAACCGACGAGCCAGCGACTTCGCCTTGGTTTGGTATCATTGCACTGTTTAACGTGGCAATTTTCGTCACACTGGGCGTTGTTATACCATGGCTGCTCTCCTTCGGATCTGCAGAAACCCCAGTAGTGAGGTCAAAGGCTACTGACAGTTGTTTGAAGTCGGACAAGTTAGCCAACCTGTTCACTCTTACTTCTATCTCGCCCAAGTCAGAGGCCATCTTCTCACAGTGCCTGGATCGTTTGGATGGTGGCTGTGACGCTCCGTTTTATCTCGAACAGCCGGTGGTGACCAAGAAGCGTTTGGACTATTGCCCATTCCATGGAAACATCTGCCACAACCAGACACGTCCATTCCAGATCACCCATAGCAATGTGACTGCACGCCAATTGGGGGTCAATTCCAAAGCACAGATTTCATTCAACCACCGGCTCACTTGCGCGCCGGTTGATCTCACTCCCTTTCTTCTCTTCTCAAGAGATACGCCAATTGAGACCTGGATATCTACCAGAAATTTCGATCTTCCCAACGGAAAAGTTATATGGCCAAACTTTACCATGCCGTTAAACACCATGAACGGGCCCAACATCGTGTCCAACCAGAGTTCGGGCCTTCGCATGGCGCGGGAGCATAGTCCCTACGACCTTACAGTACTGCCTAGGCGCTGGGCTGGTTACGAGGGTGTCATGGTCGACCCAGAAACACTACACAAAAGCATCCAGCGAGATGACGGACTGGCGTACCTCATCGTATACCGAGCTGGAGCCACACAATACTTGGGTCCCGTCGATGACCCCTTCTTTGCTGCTCACAACATGGACTGGTCGAATCAGACCGACCACTACTACGCAGACCGTGAAGCCACAGCACTGGCTTGCTTCGAGACTTCCCAGTACTGCGTGATAGGGTCTGGAGTCTGCACGCCGTGGGATCGAGGGGCGACGCAAGCATACAAAATAGTGAAATATCCCGGTCTGAGTGTCGATTCTCTTGCAGAAGTGATTGCCTTGTTGAGACTTCTACCATCCTTCTTCTCGGTATTCACTTACCTCGCCGAGCTGACTGAATGGCATGGGATGATGCCTTTAAAACAGATCGGTATCAGACCATACATGTTCACCGTCCTCGACGACAACAGAGAGCAGTGGGTCATTGAGGTCGAAACATGGTTCAGAAAAACCATTCTCAGCGCTATTCTCACAGTGCGCCACGGGGCGAGGTTCCATCTGAATGAATATTCCATCTTTTTCGACAACCCCAAAGTACTGGAGGGATTTCTCAAGAGGTGGTCTCTGTGTGGGAGGATCCTCTTTCGAGATGGGAACTACACCAATATCAACTGGATCGGATTCTGGGCGGCAATGACTCTCTTCGGATTCATATGTCTCTTGAGCTTTTTTATCGAACAGGCCCACATGACTGGTGCAGCTTTGTGCAAGACTACACGGACACTCCTTATTAGACTGCCACGAATCGGCCATGAAATGAAGTTGGCAGTGACGGCATGTGGTAGACAAGGGGTGGATGGATGGCGGTACTGGGTGTTACGGTTCTCGAGATCACATCCCCTGTTCCATCCAGCCACTCCCGCGAGACCCAGGACTCGCGACCAGGAACAAGGACCGGCCGCCGTGGACTCAGAGCTACACGATCTGGGAGACTAGCCTTCTATTCCACACAGGCTCATCTCCATCTTGACACAATGCCATCACGGTAGGTGCGGATATTTCAATTACAAACACCACGCTGGATATCTCAGGCTCGCAAAGAGAGGGACATTTCCACATCAACCACCGAAGTTCTTCCCGGGGAAAGACTGTGGCTAGCTTGTGTAGGGTTGCTGCGAAGGTACAGAATCAACCGTAGAGAGCATCACAAAGTCCAGAGAACCCGAGAATGCTCGAAGTCTCTTCTGCTCCCGCCAGCTTCGCACATGACAACTTGTTCTGACTAGTTGTATGTCTTCATCCCACCCCCACCCCCGCAACTCTGGCTTGTCCCTGGGCATCCCACCTCCGCACTTAGCGGATCCCGATCGGGATTCGATTACACGATTAGCATGGACCAATAGAAGTCCATCTAAAAGGGTATGGGTGACCAACATACATCTTCCTCAATGGGAGGATTTATAGTTAAGTCGCACAGTCCCTGGCCGTCGGTCATAACACGCAACTTAGTCTCTCACTGTGCTGGATATTCTTTCAGGCTCCAGACATCATGCCGGGCATGTACTTTCTGCTGGCTGTGGCGGCCCTGATAGTCGGCGCCATGCGTCTACTATCCATAGGTCGAAGGCCAAAGGGCTACCCTCCCGGCCCTCCTACGCTGCCACTGTTGGGCAATCTTCACCAGGTACTTGGAGTTACTTCGCCAGTGGAATTGCCAGAATCTAACCGACTCGCTTGCGGTCTCTAGATGCCAACCCGGGATGCACACTTACAGTTCGAGAAGTGGGCGCGCGAATATGGTCCGATCTACAGCTTGATGCTCGGCACGCAAGTATTGATCATACTATCGAGCGACGAAGCCGTGAAGGAGCTTCTTGACAGACGAAGCGGCATATACTCGGACAGGCTGGACATGTATATCGGCCAGACATTGTGCAGTGGAGGCTTGAGGTTGCTGATGATGGTGCGTTGAACCAATCGTCTTGGATGCTCGAACCGTTGCTAACTGCTTGTCAAGAGATACGGGCCAGTATGGAGAGGCGTAAGTGGCAGGTGATTGTCCTGAAAGCATATACATTGACTCACCGCTTGTCAGTTCCGTAAAATGATCCACGGCCTGCTCAACGTCAACACATCCAAATCCTACATCCCGTACCAAATGCTCGAGAACAAACAGATGCTGTACCAGCTCCTGGAGCAGCCCGACGACTTTCTCAAGCACATCAGGAGGTATTCGAACGCGTTGACGACCACCATGGTCTTTGGGTGGAGGACGCCCACATACGAAGACGCCAACATGAAGCAGCTCTTCCAAGGCTTCTCCGAATTCGCCGAGATCAACCAGACCGGTGCTGCGGGACTGATCGACTTCTACCCTATCCTGCGAAGCCTGCCCGACTTCCTGCTCCCAACGCAGAAGAAAGCCAAGACGCTGCACAAGCACGAGAAGACCCTGTACCTGAGACACTGGCTCAACGCGAAGGAGGACATCAAGAACGGGACGATAAAGCCGTGCTTCTGCGTGGGCATGGCCGAGGCCCAGAAGGCCGAGGGGTTCAGTGACGACCAAGCGGCATACATATCCGGGACACTCCTGGAAGCAGGCTCGGACACCACTTCAAGCACACTGTATGGCTTCATCCAGGCCATGCTCCTGTACCCGGAAGCGCAGAAGAAGGCGCAAGAGGAGATTGACAAGGCTGTCGGCGACCGTCTCCCGACCATGGACGATGAGTCGAAACTGCAATATGTGCGTGCGTGCATGAAGGAGACACTCCGGTGGATGCCGACCACCATCCTGGGGGCGGTGCCACATGCCGTGACCAAAGACGACGAATACATGGGGTACCTCATACCCAAGGGTGCGGGAGTCATGAACAACGTCTGGGCCATCCACATGGACCACAACCGCCACCCCAACCCACGCCAGTTCGTTCCCGAGCGGTACATGCACGACACGCAGAGTCTGTACGACTCGGCCGCCAACGCCGACGCCGGCAAGCGCGACGTCTTCACCTTCGGGGCCGGCCGGCGCATCTGTCCCGGCATGCACGTCGCCGAGCGTAGCCTGTTCCTCGGCATCTCGCGGATCCTGTGGGCGTTCGCCGTCGCGCCGGTCGTGGACGCCGACGGGAACAAGCTCCTCCCGGACCAGGACAGGCTGACCCAGGGGTTCGTGTGCATGCCCGAAGAGTTCCAGGCAAAGATCACGCCGCGGTCTGCGGAGAGGGAGAGGATCGTGCGGGAAGAGTGGCGCAAGGCCGAGAATGAGTGCCTGGATCCGGTGAGCAAACAGTGGTTGAGCCCTGCGCAGCCTTAGCTAGATGCTTGTAGCGGATCTGGACTTGTTTGTTGCTGCACATGACTGGGTACATTGTAGCTTTTGATCCCGATCTCGATGCTGTGGCAGAAGAGGAGGAGGAGGAGGAGGAGAAAGATATGTACCTCGTAGGTTTGTCCCAAACCAATCATATTGTGCGGGGCTCCGCTTTTCCGGGGAACCGAGAACATTTGCCGAGATGCAAATGAATGACGTGAAGCTGCAACACGCAAATTGGATCTGGCTTCTCTGGATATTTCACCCGATGAGTGCCGGTTCTATCAGAAATGACTTAGAGATAAGACTGCATTCTTCCCCAATCTATACTTCCCTCCTCTTGTTCTTTTACCCAATGTACTTATCCCTGCGCAAGGCCTCCATGCCATGCCATGGCAGATCCTCTGACCCTGAACGTATGTCCGACGTGTTCCAAGTCGTACAAACGAGCCGAGCATTTGCGTCGCCACCAGCTCTCGCATGGCAGCGAACGGCCCTACGTGTGCGTCCTCTGTCGCAGCACGTTTCAGCGCTCTGACGTGCTCAAAAGGCACCTCAAGACGTGTGAGACGGTCGCTGATGCTGACGCTGACGCCACGTCGGATTTTGAGGAGCCCCACCCCAAGAGGCTGGCCTTGTCCCAGTCACAGGAAGACCCGGGCTTGTCGTTCCTACGTCCTCCTACCATGCGATCTGATATGCCAATCACAGACGACGACGATTCGGGTCTCATTCCCGTTGACACTTTCGAGCACATCACGGGCTGGATCTCATGTGGGCTGTCACCCCCGCCGGCGCACGGTCTCGATGACGTGTGGCAGGATTTCCTGAACTTCAACAACTCCGGGACACAGACTCCGCAGGCAGGCCACCCAGCCGAGAGTGCCACAGACCAGGACATCGACTCGTTGTGCTTCCTCGACACTTTCACCAGTACCACCGGGTTTGTGTCCTCGTTTGACTGCGGCACGCTGGAGCAACGGCGCCGTGTCAACGCCTACTACTACCACCACAACTCTGACACTGCCAAGCTGGGTGGTCTGGAGAAGTGCTCGGCGACACAATCCAAGTTGATAAGCGCAGACAGCACGGACAAACATAGAGATGGCCCTGGCCCCGGCTATCATGCAGCCGGGGAAGGCAACCCATCGGCAGTGGGGAATACCAGCTTAAGCCGCTGGCTTTCCGATCCGCTCTCCTTCAAGTGCCACGAAATCGTGACCTCGATCAGAAACATCGTGCTGCACAAGTCGCGAAAGAGCTACATTGCCTTGTCGTGGTCACCCTCGATCCACGAGACCTGCGCCCAGTTCTTCTTCCCCGCCAATGTCCGGCGGTTCGTGCAGCTGTACTGGGCGGTGTGGCACCCCAACGTGAACATCGTGCACAAACCCACGTTCGACCTGACGACGGCCAAAGCCGAGCTTCTGGCGGCTATGGCTCTGATCGGTGCCTGTGTCTCTCCGGACCATACCGACGCCGAGAACGCAAAACGGTGGTTCAACTGCGTCGAGGAAATGGTCTTTGACGACGACGATTTCTGCGACGACCCGCCGAGCGCGACACTCGCCCGCGGCGACGGCGACGGCGACTGCGAACTCCGGTGGCGGCGACGGAAGATCAGGGCTCTGCAGGCCTCGTACATGGTCTGCCTCTTTCAGAACTGGGAGGGCACGACGTCCAGCAAGCGGCGGATCCGGCGGCAGCGGTTCAGCATGGTCATCGCGGCGGCGCGGGACGTGGGGATCCGCAATGCCCGACACCCCGACTACAGCCAGATGGACCTTTGCGATTTCTCTTTCGAAAACTTTGCCGTCGTCGAGGAGTTGATCCGCGTGCTGCTGTGGGTGTTTCTGCTCGACACGGCGTTTGTCATCTTCAACAACCTGCCGCCGCGGATGGTGGTTCGTGAAATGAGGATGAATGCCGCGTGTCCCGAAGCGTGTTTCCAGGCCTTGACGGCGGAGGAGTGCTTCAGGGCTCTGCAATACCGGCATCAACGACAAAGCAACACACAACCAAAGGTGTCGGACGACTTTACGGCGGCCTTTGAGCTGCTCTACCGGCCCGACCTCGACGAGGAAGCCAGCGTGGCCCTGGCCGACCTGGGCCCGCTGAACCTCTTCGCCATGACCTCGGCGCTGCACTCGCTGATCTTCCACCACCAGAGCTCCTTCAGCTGCCAGGGCACGCTGGACCCGATCCACCGCGCGCTGCGCTCCTGGCGCCGAGTCTGGCACGTCTACCTGACCCGATTCGCGCGCGAGCCGCAGCACGCCACCCTCGCGGGGGACCTCGACCTCGACCATCTCGAGCCAGGCGAGATGTGGCGCCGCGTGGGATTCATGCGCCACGCAAATGAATACTGGTACCTGGCCGAGCTGATGGTCGAGCGTCTCTCAGCACCACCGCCACTTGATCCTGGTGCTGCAGCTCCTGAACCCACCGAGACGATGACCAGCACCACCATCACGACGGTGGCAGCGCAATACCCCCAGAGTCCCCTGAGTGCTCGTGCTGCGGGCAATGAGACGCCAATGAGCCATGGGCCCCTGCTCGACAAATACGACGAGACGAGCATGCAGCAGGTGAACTCGCTGATCTCGGACTTTCAGACGTTTCGGATTCACTAGGACTCGGCCGACGGTGCGTGGTTGGCTCGATCCCAGCTATATATACCCACGGATTTAACACTTCATCGGTATGTTATATGGAGATCCTGAGACTTGGAATTTGTCGAAGAAATCCAGGTGTATAATGAGTGTACATATATTATCATTGTTTCGAGTCGTTACTCACGACATCGATAGCAAAGACGGTGGTATCGTCTCTTGTATACTCGAGGGAAAGGACTTGACCCGATTCGAGCAACACTCTGTTTGAGCAGCCTTCTATTCTTGTCCAACACTATCGCGGATTTCTCAAACCTGGATTGGAAATGCTTTAATGAAGCGTGCGACCGTCAACTTCCCCTCTGTAATGTCGTCGACTCTGTCTCTGGTAATTCGTTGTATTGATGAAATTGACTAGGCTGATCTATCAGGTAGTCTGAAATACACAAATAGCACTGTGAATAGGACAATCTCTGCGATGTCCTGATACCAACAGGCTAGTAGATGTCTGGCATTGCGTTCCTTCATGTGAACGCTGAGATCGCTGAGATCGGCGCTTGTGAAACAGTGATCTGCAGGATTGACAGGAGGATCGCCAATGAGATCTTCCGGCGCGAGTTCCATTGACTCGTACATAAAAGGACGACGAGGCAATCTTGCAGACCCGCGTAGATCAAACAGGCGCGCTGTGGTCAGAGTGGGTGACGGGGTAGCGCCATGAATGCTCCTAGGTTCCGCCCAAGCCTAGTGGACTTTTTTCAGGGGTTCTGACAACACAACATCGGGATACCAATGGCAACGCACTTCATAACCTTGGGCAGAGTTTGCAATTATCCATAACGTGCCTTGTCTTTCCTTGTTGTTTGTTTGCCAGTCTGCAAGGTGTTCTGAGTGAATATTCCCGAAGAGATCCAGAAATTTAAGCGCGGGACTATGCCTCCGTACTGATCAGGGCCATGCGCGCAAATTCCGAACTGCTAACATAAGTTCAACAAGGCTCTCGCCCCTGAACGATCCAGTCGGGTAGATTCAGAAAGGAAGAACTGGAGAAATGAATATAGCAGCCGTTTGCCCATGACGCTGCAGGTGTCATGTCGTTCAACAGGATATGGTGCTTTTACCGAAATCTGTTGTGTGAACTCGAACTTTTTACCCAAGCTTCTTTGCGATGGACACAATAGAGATAGTAACCCGTAAACACCCAATACGGTGGGGGACGTAACAAGGAGTCCTCGTGACGTCGAGCATTTTGGCCATATTGGATCAATCGAGCGACCAAGATCAAGGCAAAGGCATAAGCATACGTGACTTTCAGCCTTTCACGACGCGAGCCAAGATTCTTCCAAGCACTCCTCGGACATTCCGCTGATCGCCCGAGGTCAACGCTGTCAATACGGTGGCAACGCTCGTGGCAAAAATGGCTTGTTCCCTGTGCCGGTATTGTCGATCGTAAACGCGAGGAAGGACGGTTGCCAGTGCTCTTGGGGCCACAAAGAAGGCAACTTCCTGTCGTCGACTCGGTTTCTCCAGAAGAACAGACCATCCGCATGCAAGGCAGCCTGCCAGAACACATAGCCCGGAATCCCACATCTGGGGCGTTACGGTCTTGCACGAAAAGACTTTTGGACCAAGCCGAGTTCGAGCCAAGCAGACGGCATAGTAGAATGATGCCACAAAGCCAGCCAAGAAGGACGAGGACCTCACTGCAGCTCGAAGAGCTTTCAGAACGGACTCGGGTTTCGGTGAACGTAAAATCGTCAGTATTTGAAGAGGCAAGTATATGCCCATAGCAAATTTCCAACCCCTCCAAAATCTAGAAAGCGCATGAATCTCGCAACTCTTGCCTGTCCCACAATGATACAGCTCACAGGGTATTGGAATGGTCTTTGAAGGGTCGGCGAACACATCGGGAAGGTTCAGCTCCTGGCAAAGGCCTGTAAGAAGCGCTGCTTGCCCTGTATCCTCGCCATAGACAAAATTACCTTGTCGAGCTAAACGGAGTGCTTGGATTAGACGAGGATCGATGTCGGCCGCTTTCGAGATCCAGTGGTTATACGAGCGAGGAAGTCGCTCGGGCGAATAGAACCATGACCACATAATGATCGCAGCGGAACCAGCGAATACTGAGGGATCGACAATCTTGCGGGTGAAGTTTGCGAGACGTGGATTGCGGTGCTCCGGATGCCACGATCGACTTCTAGTTCGAGTCCAAAGAGCTATCACTGCAACATCCAGCGCGCGGCAGAAGGCAAACGCCGTAAAGTCAATGGTCTTGCCTGCATAGCGAGGATGATAGGGCGGCGGGGGTAGTTGATGTAGAGCCGATGTACGAGGAGCACCGGTAGAGATAGTCGTATTGCTCTGAGATATCGCGCGCTTTATAGCCCAGCTTTCATCCCAATTGAGAAGACTAAATGCCAGCCATGCCGACCAAAAGGAGCACAGGAAGCGGATCAATGCGGCAAGACGATTGCTGAGACGCGTAGTACCCCTGCGCTGTGATGACAGGACATAGTCAATGCATGCTTGAATTAAGTGCGGGAGCGCAGTTGCTCCGCCCACAATGACAGCAGCTGCAGTCGGGAACCGATTGATCTGGGTGGATGTGATGAGGATCTTCTGTAGGGTGGAAAGGATCTCTCGAGATTGCAGATGGCTGCGTCGAAGGGTTCTCAAGAAGGCAAAGAGCCGGGGCGTCGTGACGGTGAGATAGCCAAGGGTATAGGCTCGAAGAAGGGGTTTGATGGGCTCGAGTGTATTGAAATGAAAATATTTCTTACGGTGCATTGTGATCCTCGGCGTTGCTCACTCTCCCTTGATGCATTGATAAGAGAAAGGGGATGAGGCTTCGATCTGCGTTGGATTTCGATAGGCCAAGGAATGTTTGACACTTGATTGTAAGGGGCCTCGGTTCAAGTGTCAGAGTTGGCACGTGAATGTCTTGAATATGCCAAGAGGCCAGTTGATGCTAAAGTATGCTAAGCCACCAAAACTAAGAGTTTAGCGACTTGGCGTGGTCGGAGTCGGTGGGCTGATCGTCATTGCCGGTCCCCAGTGACGTAGTTCCCGTCGCACAACAGCTGGTTCGGAGATGAACTCGGGAAGGAGCGCAGCCAATAATGACTGGGCAGCTGCGTTTTCCTGTGTCTTGCATATCGGCAACCACGGGCAATCTGGGTGACTGCAAGCACGAGGACCTACGAGTAGTTAGGTAGCTACCAATAGGTACCTAAAGTGTGTACCTAAGCGCCTAGGTAGGTACCTACTTGACTTGTAGGGTGTTCACTACCTATAACATGTCCTGGTCACAGGGTGGATAGATGCAGGTACCACGTACGTGCCTAAATACCCCTGGTCATGTCATTGCACCTTCCTCTCGCTTTTAAAAATCCTCATCATCTGCACTTTCCTCAACATTCACTCAAATACCTACAAAAGTCTTTGAGCACATAATAATAATTAATACAACTGCGTTCATCCACCTCACTGTCTCCTTCTTTCCCTCCCTCCTCTCTCCCTCTCCTCCTCTTTCCTTCCCCTCCTCCACTCGTTACTTCGCTCGCTTCTTCTTTGCCTTCTCTTTGCCCTGCCAACTAGGTACCTGGTAATTTCTGCCCTTCACACTCGCTATGTTCATCCATTCCATCCTCTTGGCTGCTTTCGCTGCACTGTCATGGGTCAGTGCTTCACCAGTACATCTGCGCTCCGATTACAACGTCAAGGAATCCAATAACGTCCCTCCTGCGTGGTCACATATCGGCGTCCCTCATCCTCTCCATCTCTTGACCCTCAACATCGGCTTACAGCCAAATAATTTCGAACTCCTCGAGCAGCACCTCCATCAGGGTAAGCCCGCGTCCTAGACATGCATCTGAGAGTTGCTCTGCAGTCTTTGATCTAACCACACTCCAGTCTCCAACCCATCCCACGAACGCTACGGCCAACATCTGTCCCAACAAGAAGTTCACGACCTTCTTAGACCGTCTGATGAGACGTACCACCTAGTTCAAGACTGGCTGGCTGACAATGGCATTGACCCGTCTCACTGTCAAGTCAACTCGGCTCGAGATTGGGTTACGGTTACTCTCCCTGTCAACAAAGCTGAAGAACTACTTGACACCAAGTACTCCATCTACCAACACCAAGACGGTACCAGACTCATTCGAACCACAAGCTGGTCTCTCCCACGCTCGCTTCATGACCATGTGACCACTATTCAGCCCACCACTGCGTTCCTTCGAGCCAATCCCAAATCCAGCACACTTATTGATGTTCCCACGGACATTGACATTTCCCAAGTCACAACCGCTGCCAATGCTACAACCATCAAAAGCTCCTGCAACTTCGGTGGCATGACACCTAAATGCCTGAGGACCCTGTACAACACCGTCAATTACAAGCCTCAGGCTACCCACAATAATTCAGTCGGCTTCACCAATTATCTGGGCCAAGTGTCGAACCGATCGGATGCTCAGACCTTTTTGCGAAACTTCCGTCCTGATGCGGTCGACTCCGCCTACGCTATCACCCAAGTCTCGGTGAATGGTGGACCTGTTGACAATGCCACGTCAAAGGCAGGTTTAGAAGGCAACCTTGACCTGCAGACGATGCTTGGTATTGTCTATCCCACGCCTGTCACCTTGTACTCTACTGGCGGCGAGCCCCCCTTTCTGCCCGATGACTTTGTCCAAACTAATACGAATGAGCCCTACCTGACTTGGCTTCTCTTCCTGCGCGACCAAGATATCAACACCATTCCCAAAGTGATTTCCACCTCCTATGGCGACCATGAACAGACTGTGCCGCAAAGCTACGCTAAGACCGTGTGCAATCAGTTTGCGGCCCTGGGCGCTCAGGGGATCTCGCTGTTCTTCAGCTCCGGGGACTCTGGTGTAGGCGATAACTCCAGTTGTATCACCAATGACGGGCTGAATCGAACTACATTCGTTCCTGTTTTCCCAGCTTCTTGTCCGTACGTCACCAGTGTCGGCGGAACTATGAACTATCCCGAAGTTGTCGCCTTCGACACCCAGAATTCGTTTGCCTCTGGATCGGGTTTCAGCAATTATTTTACTCGACCGAAATGGCAAAACACATCCGTGGAGCGATACCTCGATACCATTGGCGACAAGTTCCAAGGGCTGTACAATCGATCGGGTCGCGCGTATCCTGATGTGGCGGCTCAGGGGTACAAGTATCTTGTCTTTCTAGGCGAAACCATCCGAAGTGTCGATGGCACGAGCTGCTCTGCCCCAACCGTGGCCAGCATCTTCTCGTTGGTGAATGACGCCCTCGCTGCAGCAGGGAAACCCCCTATGGGCTGGCTCAATCCTTGGCTCTACGACAAAGGCTTCGCGGCATTCACTGATGTTGTCAATGGCAGCAGTGTAGGCTGCGACGGGTCCGGATTCAGCGCTTCCAAAGGATGGGACGTTGCAAGTGGCTTTGGCACTCCGGATTTTGAGAAAATTTTGGATGTCCTAGGTATTGGCGGGTCTTGAATGGTCCTTCATCTGCTTCGATTCGTCGATACAACCTCCCTATTTTGGCATTGAAAAAATAATGCTGTCAATTCCGCCCGCTCATTTATGAAGGCCACCATGCAGAGTCCAGGAGGCCACAACACATGCTCAAAAAGCAATATTTACCGACTTGAACCAGGAAGCTCATGATAATCAAGTTGAGATGATGGTCGATAGTATATTCGGCTAGGATCTGGTACAGCCATACGCTGTGACGCGGTGTGGGGAGCTAGGGTGAATTGCCACATTGGGTCTATCGAATGCGTGGAAAGCTAGAGGGGTTCAAGTACCCTTGCACTTTTTCTACATGTAGATGACGCTGATGGCGCTGCTGGTCAAATAGGGACACCTATTAGATTAGATCATTCGTGCCAGCAATTGAATGATGAAATGGCCAAATTTGGTCGTCCAACAAAGCACCAGCAGATGTATTCTCCAAACAGATTCCGCCATGATCAAACTACAAGTGCATGATAGTGTTGAACGAAACACTTCAGTCCCTGTCGCTCGTCTCCCCTTCTAGTTTAGCCTTTCGCTGCTTTACTCACCCACGTGTCACCTCGGCTCATCAGCGGCTTGAAGAATCGGAAAACCTGCCGTATTATGTTACTTACACCTGAGGTTGTCATACCTGTATCCTCAGTTGGAGCCAGCATCGTCTTCAGGTGTACATACAGTATGTAATATATGTTTATCGTTGGCTGACAAGTTACAACCTCTCGAATCTCATCATCTCAACCGTCCTTGTACAGATGTGCATATTCAGTGGCAACTCGTCATGTCTGGCTCCACGACTATGGAAGGCCACCGAACTCGCAATACCAAGGTATGCATGCAATGTCACGCGCGCAAAGTAAGAGTTCCTCTCCCCAAATCAGGCGACAGACGAGATTGACTTGACCGGATCAGGTGAAATGTGACTTGCAAGACCGCACCGATGGGACGTGTCAGAGCTGTCAAAGGGCAAACATCGTGTGCAGGTGGGTTTGACTTTACATGTGTGCATGAAATGAGGTCGACCATTCTGAGTAGATGGAACAATCAATAGGCCTCGTGTGGGAGTTCGTCAACGCAACATGCGGTCCCGCCGGGAGACTGCCACTAGCACGCAGTCGACGGAGGCTATAGAGCGCGCAGAGCTGCAACCATCTGCGTCGCCGGGATCGGTGGGCTATCTGGGAGAGGAGAGCATGATGCTCCAGAATCCCAGTGCGCTCCAGGTTGACGACGAGACCGAAGCAGAGACGGCCAAGTTCTACTCGAAGGCTCTGATGGCCACTGGCGCAATAACCTTGCCCTCACAGATGATGGTGGTCGCACTGACTGATGCTTACTTTGAACACATTCATCTCCACCAACCCCTCGTCGACCGAACAGACTTTGAGCGTTTTCAGTCACCTCTGCTGGTGCACACTGTCTGCATGCTTGCAAGTGCTTATGGTCACCGACGAGGAGGAACAAGCCAGCTGAGTGCGGCTAAGAAGCACTACCTGAAGGCAAAGCTGCTGCTGGCTGCCGAGCATGAACGAAATAAATTGGTGGTTCTCAAAGCGCTCTGTCTCATGACAAGTCGAAGCATGACCGAACCGACAGTCATCTGCCTAGACAGTCTGTGGCATTGGCTTGGGGTGGCATCGCGCTATGCAATCCACATGGGTCTTCACAGAGAAGCAACCTACAGCGGCAACCAAGATGCTGGAACCCGTCGAAGGATGTGGTGGCATCTCTTTGTAGGAACGGCCTTCCCAGTTGCGTACTCGATGCTGACGTTGCTCCAGAATCAGGACAAGTTAGTGTCCTTCTGTTATGGGCGGCCCTTGATGATTCATATGCATGACACCGACGTTCAACCGCTGTCGCAACGCGACTTTCCCAACGAACATCCAGACAATAACATCTTCATCGAGAGGACCAAGCTTTGCATGATTTTTGGTCAACTTGCTGATGGACGATACAATCCCAACTTGAGCTACCGAGATATCGTGCCTATTGGACAAGCCTTTGAGACGTGGGTCTGCGAGTTGCCGGCAGACTTGACTTTGCAACACGCAGACTCGAGGCCATATCGTCGAGTGGTTTCTGAGTTGCACATTTTATACTACGGCTGCTTATTGATCTACCAATTGTCTTTGATGAAGGTGGAGCCAGTCTCCAGCTCGGCCAGGGCTACCTTCGAAGAGTGCATCCAGACCGCGTCACATCTAATCCGTGTTTTCGAAGAGATCCAATGCAGAAACGACCTTGTTTATCTGGCACCCATCAACGCTTGGTTTTGTTACCTAGCCGGAGTGGTACAAATCCGCGCTCGCGCTACATTTCCCGGCCAAGCAGAAGGGTTTGATGACAACCTGGAAATTGTCAGGACAGTCTTGCAGGAGCTGTCCGCAACGGTTCCAAGCTCTGCCTTGGTCCTCGGCAATCTCAAACGTGCGGAGCTTTCTGGCGGAACTCTACCTGGGCAGTATTCCACCCATGCCGCCCACCCAGCAGCGGACGGGTTGGCCAATTCTGGATCGAGCAACGAAGAAAACATCACAGCCGAATCTCTCGCAGGTCCTGACGGTCGTCGGAGTACTTCGAACCTTCTGGGTGGTTTCAACGAAGGGATGGACAGCAGTTCTCTCTTTTTGCCTGGGAATCTCATTGCAGATGGTTTCGTCAACTTCGACTTCGGGGATGTTTTCGTGGACCAAATATTTCAGTACCAGTGACTTTCTGGTTGGACTGACGACGCCGAGGAAGGATTAGCGCTCAAGCACCTCATGTGTCGCTTGTCGTACCATGCAAGCTCCGCATCACTTATCAATACCAGACTCGGAAGTCCCACCGCGGCCCCGACTACCGAGTGCCGAAGCGGATCTGAAACCGGTAGCCGTCTCAGTCTGCACACCCAGCCGGAACCATGCATCTATTTTGATAAGGGTGAATTCGAAAGACTACCTTGTGGAGAGCCGAGATCATGCTCTACCGAGCTCCCTACTGTGTAATCTAGCCACGGTCCAGACCCACAGCAGCCTGGCTCTGGCTATTGACTCTGACAGTCGACACAGGGAGAAAAGCCGGCAACTTGCCAACATCAAAAGATCATCAAAATACTCAGCAAGTCGATTTGTTGGCACCCTATCGCCGAATCCTACATCACTCATCATTTCAGGTCTAAACAAAGACTTTGACAAACCGAAAACAGATTGCTCGAGACAACCTTCACTTATGGCCACCATGCGTGCAGTCGACATCAGAGGCGAGACAGGACCTGTTTCGGCCTTGTTCATCAATGCCGAGACACCCATACCCGAGCCCACGCAGAATCAGGCCCTGGTGAAAATCAAAGCATTTGGACTCAACCGCATGGACCTCTTGCAGCGGGAGGGCAAGTACCCGGTACCGCCTCAAGCCCCGAAGACTATGGGCGTTGAGTTTTCAGGCATCATTGAATCCTTTGGATCTCCCTCTTCCACTCTAGACTTCAACGTCGGAGATGAGGTCTTTGGTTTGGCTTATGGTGGCGCATACGCCGAGTATATCGCCGTTAGCACGTCTATGCTCATTCACAAACCCAAAGAACTCAGCTGGGAACAGGCTGCCGGGGTGCCTGAGACCTGGATCACTGCCATCCAAGCTCTGTACCTGGTCGGTGACTATCAAGAAGGCCAGAGCGTCTTGTGGCATGCTGGGGCGAGCGGCGTCAGTATTGCCGGAATCCAACTCTCGAAGGCTGCCGGAGCGTCGGCGGTCTATGTCACCGCGAGTACGCCAGCCAAAATTCAATTCTGCAAGTCTATCGGCGCGACCGAGGGGTTCAATTATAGAGAAGGCGACTGGGCTGACGCGTTACTTGCCTACACGGGAGGAAAGGGCGCAGACCTGATCGTGGACTTTGTGGGGGCCGACTATTTCAGGCAGAACCTGAAAGCGGCAGCAAGGGATGCCCACATTGTCAACTTGGGCTGGCTAAGCGGGACCGTCGTCAAGGGCGACGTCGACATCAGTGCTTTTCTCGGCAAGAGATTGAGGTTCGAGGGGAGCAGTCTCCGGAGTCGCGACGAGCCGTACCAAAAGAAACTGCGGGACTTGCTGGTCGAGCACGCGCTGCCCAGGCTTGTGGATGGCCGGTTCAAAATCTTCATCGAAAGGGTTTTTGACATGGACGAGATCCAAAAGGCGCATGAAGTGTTGGAGTCGAACCAGACCATGGGCAAACTCATATGTAGGGTGTAGGGGTATAGGGAGGGTTGATGTGCTACTGCACCGGATGGGACGAAGTTGGGTGGGTGGAAGGTTACCGTCTGAATAAATAGTAACTAACTACACAAAGTCTACAAAATATCCACAGAATAAAGAACCTTCCTTTGCCACCCTCAGACTTGTCTTTTACAAAAGGTATATGTTCCTCACCTCATTCTGATAAGCAGCCCACCACTGCTGAAAGAATTGAGACCCCTAAAGTTCCCATCGAAGACTCGAATCGAGATCTAATGCCATATTTTCATATTGTCCGCAGTGGTTCCTCTATTTCGACCATACTAGCTATGTGGGTAGGTATTTAGGTAGGTAGGTAGGTAGGGACAGTGACTTTCGGGCTGTAGCTATATACCTAGAAGAACTCGAGTCGATACTTGATATCGGGTATGGCGTGTGGAAGATTCAGCACCGAGAGAAGAGAGACGAGAAGAGTGAGTCTGCTGCCAGCTAGAGAAACCATACGCTGATACGGAGCTACGTAAGCCTACCAGCCAACGGCCATCACGAACAGTTTAGAATTCAATACAATGTTCTTGTCCTCCTCTCCCTCCCCTCACTCCTAACGGAGGAAGGCCAGCTTATCCAGCATTTCCAGCCCATCTCATATACCTACAAGGTATAGCGAAACTGCGGATTCTGCGTGAAAGAAAATATGTCAGGTAAGCTTTTGATCCATATCTTCAACTCGCAGCATAACTGACGCTTACTTGCACGCATGCATGCAACGCATACAAGCTCGGTGGTCGTACAGGGAAGAAGAAAGCAGAACTTACTTTTTTATCCGTCAAGTCGTCCTCGTAAGCATGGTCAAACGCCTCGAGTGTGCCCGTGGCGTCCCGCCTCTTATTGTCCCTAACGCAGAGGAATCGGTAGAACATGGACAAGAACACCACGCCGATCGAGGTGGCGACCACGGTGGCTAGTCCGGGGGCGTAGACGGGCGCGTCCTGCGTCCTGAACGTGAGAGGCGCGACAAAGTTACCTGCCATAGAAAACACCGTCAGCATTCCATTCCGGGCCGACCAGCGAGTACCGTGCGTCTCGCAATCGTTTTGTGCTTCTAAAAGACTCTTACCAATGCAATAGGCAACGAAAATGCCCGACGAGGCCAACGAGCGCTTTGTATACCCCGCAGTATTGGCGATTTGGAGACCTAATTGAATCACGTATCCGGCGGCAAAGCAGGGCAGGATGACCACGCCGAACATCAAACCCCCAATGGCACTTCTAGGAAGAGCCCAGAGCAGGGCGGCGGCGAGGATGGTGATCAGTTCAGATATCGCGACGAGGTATGTCCGGATGTTGCGATACCTGTAGGCGAGGTAGGGGATGATTAATTCGGCGGTACCACTTGATATACACAGGTGAGCGGTTTGTCATTTTTATCATCATGGTCACTACCGGCAGAGCACAACTTACGTGAAAAAGCCAACAGGAACAACCAACAGCAGAGAGTTGAGCGTGTTGAACCCGAATCCGGAGATGATCAGAGGCGTGAACGTCGACACGGGTGCATTGGCAAACATGGCCAACAGGGTCATCATGAACATGACCCAAAATTTGAGGTCGAACATCAATTCGATCATTTGTTCTTTTTTAAAGTGCGTGTTGCGGACGCCCGAATTGTTCGACTGCAGTCGACTCACCGCGATGAAATGCTCGCGCTCGGTGAATCCTTTGGCACGGATGGGATCAGGGGGCAGGTAGAAGTAGACGATCACGGACCACAGGATGGTGATGGAGCCGGCAAAGAGGTACATGTAGCGCCAGGGGGACAGAGAGCCTTTGACGTGCCCGAATCCGTAGTTGATCAAAGGCGAGAAAATGGATACGTAGCCACACGCACAGTACCATACACTATCGTCCCACAGTCAGCCTGCGTTCGATGGAGCGCTGAGATTCAGAAGGGTGAAAAGAACCAAAAGAGAGACAGAGAAATACACTCACCCCATGCGCAGGGCCTGCTCATTCTTCTTGTAGAACTGGCCCACAACCAGCATGAACATCGGACTGACTCCTGCCTCGATGAACCCGAGGAAGAACCTCTGCGCGAAGAGGCCCTGCCAATTGTGACATGCCGGCGTGCAGATAAGACAGATGCCCCAAGCCAAGATGATGCTCGCTGCTACTTTCTCGATGGGGAAGCGCTGAGCCATGACAATAGCCGGGTAGGCGCCGGCGATGAAGCCCAAGTAGAAGATGGACGAGGCAAAGGAGAAGCGGTTGGCGACGGTGAGCTCGAGGTCGGTGCGAAGGCCAAACAGCGCGGCCTGCGAGATCATGGCCTTGTCGTAGTACTGCAGACCGTAGCAGATGACGAGGATAGGGAGGAGGCGGCGGTCGATCTTCCTCCTGACCTGTTGCTCTTCTTTGTCGGTCCATGTTTGCGGACCGCTGTAGCTGGCCAGCACCGTCATGGCCTCGTCATTGTGGCGGCTGTCGACGGTGATGGTGGCCTTTAGGTCCGTGTTGCCCGCCGCCTCCTCCAGATGGATGGAGTTCTCTTTGGTTTGGTATGCCATGGTGGTATCCTGAGCTCGACGGGGTCTTGCGACGATGGACGAGAGATGCTCAAGAAACTCGGCAGGTAGCAAGAAGCATGCGCATTATGATCACCACTTGACGGATAGGAGCAGCAGCTATAAATACTGAACTTGGACGCGTGGAGGCGGTAGAGAAGTAGTCTGACTATTCTCATCAAAAGTCTGGAGACGCGGGGGATGGTACCGGTAGTCCTTGCATCCCCAGTCCATGGCTGATGAGAGAGCGGCAGTCGGTAGTCGGTAGAGACGATGCAGGGAAGAAGAATTCTCCAATGGAGTGGCGTGTCCGCACGTATGGGGGACTCGGTACTGGATTGGGGATGGGCGTTCTGGGGTGTGGAGGAGGCGGAGCGGAGAGTGTGCGAGATGTTGATGGACCGACAGGGGGGTGGAATGAGTGGTACACCTTGGTCTAGTGGGATTCTGGTACTCTGTAAATGGGGGGAAGAGAGAGGGTTGTGTGTCTAACAGCTATTCTCTCCGCGAAATTTATGCCAAGACGCTAGTGGTCTACCCCTCCACATTGAGTCAAGGACCAGGACCTAATATCTGGCTCCCTGCGCCAATCCCCAGACGGATCACCCAAATGATGCGAGGAAATCCCCTCCCACTACCGACCTTGACGACTGCCGAATACCGAGACCTCACTTCAACCCATGCTCTCTGTGTTCTCAGACCATGTCGGTCGCCTTATCACAACTGGGGCAGATGGACCCTCCTTCTCCAAACGATGTGTTCTCCCAAACTACGAGGTAAGCACTCCCGGCATAAGATTCAGCTGGTCAACCGGGATTCTTAATAACACGGCCATCGCTTCGTCTTCCTTCTCCCCCTGCCATGTAGACTCGGATACGAAAGGTGTCGGGACAACGCGGAAAAAAACCTAAACATTCTTAACAGCACTCGTCTCAAGTCCATCTGACCAAGCAATCCGTGACTGAACACAAACCACTCGACCTACATCCAGACACCGTGTGCTGTCTGAACTGCCTTGTTTCGAGCACTCCCAGAAACACCTCGCGCCATGCCGGCTGCAACCTTGCCTCGGGAGAGGGGGATGATGGTCATCTGGGGAGAGGTCCAAGACAAGTCCACTGATGAAGAAGATCTCAACGAATGGTGGACCTATGAGCACCTCCCGGAGCGTCTCGCCATCTCGGGCTTTCGACGAGCTCGTCGCTACTACTCGGTCGAGGATGCCAAATCGCAGTACCTGGTCTGCTACGAGGTCTCTTCGGTGGACGTCTTCACCTCACCCGCGTACATGGACGCGCTGAACAACCCCACGCCCGGCACCCAGCGAAACATGCCCTTGATGGCGTCCATGAACCGTCTGGTATGTCGCGTCGGCCAGTCTTGTTCGCGGCCCGAGTTTGGCCAGTTCTCCGGATCGGGATCGGGCGCCACAATGGTGCTCATCACCTTCCAGCCTCCCGCGTCGCAGGGCCAGAGGGACGAGCTGGGCGGTTGGATTGCAGAAACCGTTTGGCCGAGCCTGTCGAGCCAGCACCAGAGTCTCCTAGCCATTCACCTCCTCCAATACGACCGATATGCCTCACAGTCAGGAAGCTCGACCAAGTCGTATGAGAAAGCCAGCTTTCAATCTGCAGAAACGCCGGAGAGATGGGTCATCTTAGTCGAGCTGGCCGAATCCATGGCGGCCCCGTTTGCCAAACACCGGGTTATAACTCAGAGCATCGTGCAGCAGCTGAAGAGATTCGCGGGAGAGATTGAGTCTCGGGCATTTGGACTCATTTGTGCGTTGGGCCAACAGTGAATACCTAGTGTGCGAAGACAGTCCACTTACAACATAGACATTAGACATCACTCAGCGTCTGTTTCAATCAGCATGTTCTCCCGCAGTAGAATGGTTTGAAATGATAGGTAAATGCTGCCTTGTGTACCCTATTCAAAGGCGCCGAAATACCTAACATTGTATATAAGTTGTTGGCGGGAAATCCGCCTTCGGTTTAGGCAGCCCAGATGTGGGCGCTGCTTTTGCTCCGGATAATAGGTTCTCGTCTTTATAGTGCAAGGAACTGAAAGTTGCTGCTAGCACGCAGCGGATCCCTTATTATGTACCTCAGGCCGGCGCACAAACCGTCTCCCCCCCTCGGTATATCCGATCACGAAGACACCGCGCAAGGTCATCGTTAGAATGTCTGCATTGCTGCCGGCAGCTCCTGAATTCCGACAGACATGGATGGCATCCGTTGCCAGAGCCCGCAGTAAACAACGTGGCCGAGGGTGACGGGTTCCAAACGAATGTGACGAAGACAACAAAAGTGAAAACAGCAACGATCCTCTCATCCCTCAAGGGCATTTTTTCCCCCAAGAGACTTAGGTTTTTGGAGGAAGTGCCAGCCATGGGCAGCAAGGTTTCTACATCGCACGCTTCCAACGACAGGATCGGCGAGGTGTGTTGGTAGCAAG